CTGCTTACCTTCTTCTTTTAAAAAAACTGTAACGTGTGAAAACACTTTACAGAGGATCATAAAAAATACTGAATTGAAACACTGAACTCTAAAGATGTCTCCCAATTTGTAGTTAAGTAACTAATGAAGCAAGCAGAGCAAGAACAGAGTTGCTTTTGTTAGTATCCATTGCTCTTTCATCTTCAAGTACACCGAACCCAACTCATTATACAGTAAAAGGTCAATAAACAGAAAAGCGGCAGACTCTGATTGTTATTCATTTTGAATGGGCCTCAGCTACAGAAACCAACTCAACCCTCATGAGTTCAACATAATGCCTGCTTCCCCTACAACATAAGCTAAATCCTTCGTTCACATCAGTTCAGACAGAAAAATAATTAGCATTCACCACTTCAAGTATCTAATTATTTGCAAATTTGAATTGAGTATATTGCAAGAAGTTAGTTGTCTGCGTGAAATGAACAGAAGGAGAAAGGAAGTTGTGAGGGTGGAAATACATTTTGCCAACTAGTGGAGATGATGCCAATGGTAGATTTAATGCACTGTAGAAATTGCTCCAAATCAGACTATGAGAACTACTGCAGGTCTCAGTTTTACAATGGACCTCATCTTCAACTCTAAGTCTGGTTTCATTCTGAACTATTAGCTGTTTGTCAAAATGGAGCAAAATAAATGTTTGGTTCTAATTTTAGAATATTTATTTAGTGATAATCTAGAAGAGTATGAGAGTGAAATCTGACGAGTCTCACAAACAATCCAGTTATAATGTCCAGACATTTGTACTTTGTGCCTTTTCCCAGAATCGTAACCTAACTTGAGTGCTTATGTGAAAATTGGACAAAATGACCAGTGATTTTACCAAGTGATTGTCATCTGTTGTTGATACATTACTTTACTACTCCAGCAGATTTACAGGGAGCCAAACAGTGCAACAAAATCACTACATTAATAGGGTTCCTAAAATACTAGAAGAACAAATAAACTCCTGTGAAATGTAATGCAAGAATGTTGCAATGCTGCAGCCTTTCTATGACAATCAACATGGCAACCTCTGAACTAAGTTTTCATATCAACAACAACAAGATTGCATTTATAGAGCGCCTTTCACTTCGGGAGGACGTCCCAAGGCGCTGGACAGTTGGGTCGGGACCCGAGCAAGGGGGAAATGGTCAGGGTGAAGGGAGGGAGCGAGGAGGGGGTAGAGAGTCGAGAGGGGAGCTGAAGGCACGGTTGAAGAGAAAGGTCTTGAGACCGGCCTTGAAGGAGGAAAGCGAGGAAGCAAGGCGAAGGCACTGGGGGATGGAGTTCCAGAGGCTAGGGGCTGAGAGGCTGAAAGCCCGGCCACCGATGGTAGGGCGGTTAGGGCGGGGGATGTGGAGCAGACCGGAGCCAGAGGAACGGAGGGTACAGGCAGGTATACGTGGGGGGATAGTAGGTCGGAGAGGTAGGAGGGTGCAAGGCCGTGAATGGCCTTGTGGGTGAGGATGAGGATCTTGAATTCGATCCTTTGGGGGATGGGGAGCCAGTGGAGGCGAGCGAGGGTGGGAGTGATGTGGTCCCGAAGCCTGGTGCGGCATAGTACACGAGCTGCAGAGTTCTGAATGACCTGCAGCTTGTGGAGGGAGGTGCTGGGAAGGCTGACGAGGAGAGAGTTCCCGTAGTCCAGCCTTGAAGTGATAAAGGCATGGACCAGTGTTTCAGCAGCGCGAGGGGTGAGGTAGGCCGTAGTCTGAAGATGTTCCGGAGGTGGTGGAAGGCAGTGCCTGCTGTGGGGCGGATGTGGGGAAGAAAGGACAGCTCAGGGTCGAACAGAACACCAAGGTTCCTGACTGGCTTTGAGAGGTGGAGAGTGCAGCTACCAGATGTCCCTAAGTACGGCATGCTAGGAAATCCCTGACATAACAACAGTAGCTTTTAAATGATAAATGAAAGACATCCAAAAGCCACATGTGCATCTGAAAAATCTGAACATTATCTTCTAAGAGTGTCATTCTTAGTGGGATGATTCAATAGTCGACTTTAGTTCCACATGTTAAAACATCCAGCAAAGGTATACTCAGGTTTCTCAACTGTTAAGTTTGTGTGTTGAGCATCTGGAAGAGTATGATTCGTGCACATTCAGGTGTACTAATTGTTAATGATGTACATCATCCAGCAACTTCTCCAGTCATCCTGGGTTAGACCAATAATCGCTGTATAATCAGCCGACAGGAGCCGGTGGCTGACTGCGTGACTGACTACTCACTAGTACTTTTGCCCTTGAATTTGAACCATAGACACACAGCACAGTTAATGTGTTGATGTTCCAACGTACACTGATGCAGCACTACCCCATAATTTCTACCTTCAACCCTTTTGAAATTTAGTGCTCATAGTAACAGACCTCATAGGTGTTCTAAACCCCATCAGTTTTTATATCTTGGACACATAATCTTTACTGCACGTGTCGACAAACCTGAAAAATGGACACTCTGTTCCCTTAAATATCATTTATGTGTCAGGAGCCTTCTCTAGCCCTAGCCACCCCTCACCTACAGAAGGCAGTAAATGTAATGACGCTGGATATACACATTCCTATTCCTTTGAAAATAATCCAATGGAATACTTTAGTATCACTATAGAGTTGCTGCACAGTTTGCAGAATCCAACTCCATATTTCAACTTAGAAATACTTTTTTGCAAATCTGTCAATTGTCAATTCATCAGATTTATTATTATTATTGTGTTGTTTGGTTTTGGTTTCAGTCTGTTTTATTTCTGAGCCTAAATCTGCACTTGCCAGAAACAGCCACTAAGTGTCATCCCAGTTCTGAAGACCCATCCCACGATCCTGCTCAGCTTTGTTTACAGGAGGATTTAAGTACTATGGAAGGAATGTTACAATCCAGTCTTTCTCCCCTAAAGCCCCGGAGGTTTTTTTTCACAAAGAAAGCTAGGTTTCTGAAATCTTATAATCAAAACCTGTACAAATCAAAGAATATGAGATCGCACCCTGCTTTACATGTTAACACTCATAAATTACCATTACTTGACGGCCTTCAAGGCTTAATCACATTAAGGAAACTGCATATTTCTCTTTGCTGAACTTCAGCCTGTCTCCATGGTGCTGTACTGTGTGTCTGAAGATAATGAATGAAAAATGGAAAATACAACTATAATAATTTAATGTAATATAACACAGTCTTGGGTCTAATTAACTGATTATGTGTCATATGTAACTCTATATGTACCTTTTAAATAACAAGAGTCCTTGAATATTAACACATTGTGGAAGGTAAAGTGACCAGCTATGTTAGAGTGTTGGCAGAGTAAATCTGCAGCCAGTTTACACACCTGAAACATTAAAAACTTAGAACACAATCTTAACACATATACTAAGCAAATTGATTTTCTTTGAAGGAGCAGCAGTAAAAGCTGTGGCCACAGTTTTGAGAGCAAAGCCGCTTCTCAGCTTAGCAGTCATGTAATAGAAGATTTAATATGACATGTAATAGAAGATTTAATTCCCAGCGTGGAATTGAACCTGAGTTCAATTCCACACAGGGCGAAACCTTGGGCAAGTTTCCTTACTCCACACGCCTAATAATAATCCCTCCAAAACCAAAAACAATAATAAATTGGTCATTTTCAATCTACGACTGTTTGTGGGACATTGCTGTGCGCAATTGGCTGCCGCGTTTGCCCACAAATATACAGTCAATTCACTTTACAGTGTGTTCTGTGAAGCGCTTTGGGACGTCCTCCTGACGTGAAAAGCGCTATATCAAATGCAAGGATTATTATTATTATTTGTTTAAAGTAAGGACCAGAGAAAATGACGTCAGTGACAACAGAGCTAGAGTAAAACAATGCTCCTCCTCTAACGATGGCTGCTATTAGCTCAACAGTGTCACCCGTCATGATGTCCTGGTACTGCCACAACTCGCAGCTTTTATTGCACTTAACACGTTTAATTTAGTTCAAAATAAGATTAACAAGCTGTTGCATTCCATTCCGAGGAATGGGATGCAGCAAATAAATGAAATTATTTTAGTGGTAGGTCCTGAAATATATAAAAATTGAACTTATTAGCAGCTAAATGCAGCCACTCAGCAGCTACCATGAAAACATTAATCAAGATTCCCCCAAACTGTTTCCTCAAATAATATACTTGTGCTGCTTTAAATGGACTCAATCCATTGACAGAAAAGGCAAGAATGTCCAGGGACCAACAGCTTGAATCCTGAACCCAATGACTATCTCCAACAGTAAGGCATCTAAATCGCTGGAAACGTGTAAAAGCAAGTAATAATGAGTCTGTTCTTAAATGTGGATTTTAAAAAATTCAACGTCATTTGGCAGTGATTAGCATTAATTGTTACAGCTAGTTACACCCTTTTCTGCACAATGATCAAACAACCCAGTACTCTATCCAGTACTAAAAAAAACAAAATTATGCTTCCAAGTAAACTACCAATGTATATTTACTTACATATATTTTATAGTCATGAACTTATAAAAAGCACTGAACTAAATCAAAACTCAAGTAACTGAACAACTTCTTACACTTCGGATCACACAACAGAAAACAGATTCTTTAAAACTACGCAACACTTTATATATTGTACAACAGCCAAATTCGACTCCACAAAAGGTATTATACCACAAACTCAGACTACGTCATTGTTAGCAGTGTTAGTGCAGCACTCACTGTGATTGATGTTTTGGGAATGGTCAATAAATACTCAAGTTCTCGAGGGATATTTCTGGATTCTAACTCCTCAAGGAGGTGTTCAGTCATTTATTTTACCATGGACTTGGTGTATCTGTTCACATTTCTTTTGTTAAATGCTCATCACAACCTCAATTACACTAGTCCCAGACCTCTATAATGCAAAGTGGATGGGATTTTTCTCCAGTGCAGTGACATATATTTTGAAACACCAGCTGCAGACGACAAGAATGGCAAATTTATATAACATGCAAAGTTCATTCTGAGAGAATGATGTTGATCAACATACTTAGCTTTAGCTTCAGCATCTTCATAGGCCTTGTTGGAAACATCTTCTAGACCTCCAATCAGGTGTTTAAATGAGCTGAAAATAATCAAAAGACAGTGTTCAGAAAATCCACATTCCCTTTTTTACTGAGTTTCAAAATATATTTAGCAAATGATGGGTTCTACCAGTGTCTCTTCTAGGCATAAATAATAGTAAAATCACACTGCCCACCTGCTATTTAATATAAGGACAGTCTAGACAACATATTGACATTTAATCTGCATAGAATTAAAAAGAAGTACTTCATATTTCTACCAAATATGTGGAATAGTCTACAATACAGAGATTTCAAATAATGCTGACATTTATGATTGTTGTTTACCACAAATTCTTAACAAAACCAGAGTGAATGTCTAAAAAGCTGTTAATTACAGAGTAGTAAAGCAGAATGTCCCTCTAAGAGTTCCCACTTGATAAATTAATTTAATAGTTACAAATAAGTATGCCACCTGCACTTGGAAAAATGTCTGTGTCTGCAACAGAATTTTAAAAATTCTCTAAGAGAGCCAGATGCCAGTCACTGTCATTGCCAGTCACTATGATTGCCAGTACTGCATGAGGCAAATGACAGGGTACTGGTATTCATGTCATATGAATTAACTGATTCCCATTTATTGGGGACATTTGCTGACCTAAATGTCTTATGACATGAGGTAACCCACAAAGTGCAGTGCAAAGGTTGAGAACTATTGAGTGTAAAGGAAGGGCTCTTGTTTACTAATCGGATTTGGTTTACACCAGAAGTGTGGCCTGCGGGAATGCAGCTATTACTTCTGAATGTCATTTTACAGCTAACGTGAGCCTTTGCCTCCAGCTTCCACCTTCTGCTGTCTCACATGAGGTGGTATAGCAGTCTAACTGAGCTGAGCGTCTAAATTTATCAGCATCACAAAAAAGAAAAACAACTTTTACGAATTCATAGATGGTACTAAATTTCAAATCCTTGGAAGGAGTCTTTGTCCAATTTAATGGTAGTCTTTTAATACATAAAACATCCAGTAAATAACTGTTTCTATTCTGTGGTTATCTTTGATTGCCCATGTAACAGAGCGGACCATCACAGCATGTATTTGTTGCAATCATAAACAGATAAAAAACCTGTACATTGGAAACTAAGTGGAACCAAAAAAAATGCTAGGAATGCATATTGGGTTGATGAGCACTTGAAAGAGGAAGATAGGTATTACTCAGTACGTGATCTTTTCACCAGAATATAAAAGTAAGATTTGTTTCCATTGTGTTGAACAACTTTACCCCCTCTTTCATTGCTTACTGTCCTGTTGTGCATGTATTACGTTCAGTCAGTCTCAGTTAAGCTAACTGAAAAAGTTTGAATCTCAAACATAGAAATACTCAACATGTAGAAGCTGGTGATTAACAGGCACATTCAGCAAATCTGCATCAGTGTGATCTGGTCTCAGTGGGATTGGACATCCACTAGCAGCACATGCCTCACAGAGGTCACACATGCAGTACAGAATTCCCAAAGCTCTGGCTTTCTTTTTGAACTCAACTTTCAAGCTTTGCTACAGTATCAGGTTTAAGCTCCACGATGCCAGAGCTGCACCAGTATCAACTAAAAATAAAGTCAACCGAACCAGGCCAATTATTCACAGGCAATAATTTGACACTGAGAACCTCATTGTGTCAGCCCTTTATTTAAAGAGTGTCACCTTTATGAAAATCAGTGACAAAAATGTTGAGTGACCTTCACAATTTTTTTCTCTCCTTTTCTTTCCTCTAATTTTCCCCTACGAATTTCTCCTCCCCTGAAGGAGTTGACTTTTTCTACCTGAGTAAAGTTCCACAGGTCAGTCAACCTCTTGCATGAGTGTAGATAGTGAATGTTAGCAGGTTGTGGAGGACATCACAGATAAGCCCAATTCTGTCATTACTTGAAGTCCACACACACAAACCTTTCAATAGAAATATCCATATAGTGATCAGGAACAAGACCATACTACGCATTCCTCCTCCTAACCCAGCAGGATAGAGAACAGTCAACTCAAAGGACACCAGGATTGAAACCTGTAACTTTCATCTGTATTGATGCCCTTCTCCCTTTGCCCACTGAGGATTCCCGTTTCTTACAATTCTGTGATATTTGAAAATGCTGCAGAAATGGTGATGCTGATGACATTATTGGGGACTGTTGTGAAGAGCTCTCATCCTGTAAGTGTGAAAGGTTGAAATGATTGTCTGTACTCATCAGTAGGTTCAGCAATTTTATACTGAATTCCATTATAACAGGTTTCTACTATATTTGTATCTAATAGCCTGTGCTTTCTAATATTAATCCTCAGTAAGGAAACTGGAAGTATGACTTGGTGACCTGTGAGAGCTCTGTCCTGACGCAACTTACTTTTGGAGCCACGTTTCCATGGGGTGGGGAAGCATCATAATGATCTTGATATAATTTCAGTTACAACTCGAGTCTCAACTCAAATTCCTTAATTACAATTTCTAGATGTGTTTTCACATGTGGCAAGCTCCTGCTTTTGATTGGTCTGTATGCAAGATGCCATGCGATTACTAGAAGAGAAAATTGGAGCCTGCTTTTGCACAGCAAATAGTTCCATAGTAGCACAAGCGGAGGTCTGGGAGCACATACTTGATCAGCACAGCTAGAGAATGGGATGTGACAAAAAGGAGAAAACTGTAATAAATCTGTAAGGGGCTTAAAGATTTTTCTAAAGATGATTCTCTGCACCAAAGCTTATTCAGTGAAGGTAGAGCATTCAACTGCACATCTCTACAGCTCTGCCAGCCATGTGGCTGCTTTCATTGGATTTACCTGGATTCGCTAGAAATCAGTAAACATCCAATATCCGTCCGTTCTTGCGCAATCCAACACAAATGCATTTTCACAAATAACATTTTATTTCACAATGCTGGGAGGCAAAGAATTGAGGAGAAAATTAATTAAAAATTTGTCTGAAATCTTAGAAATGGTGAGTACTGGGGGTCAAAGGTGAATGAGAAGGAAGAGCCTAAATCACATACTTGTGAGTTTGATGGACCAATGGGGGTCCAAATGCACACCTTCACTGAGGCATTAAGAAGGTCTGAGTCTGTGACTTGTGACTCATTATTAGGTTGCCAATTGATCTCTGTTCAGTGTGAAAATTGACCCCCCAAAAAATCGATAAAAATCTATTTTTTCAAACAAATTGCCAAAAATAAATCTGGTGAAAATCAGCAAAAATAAAAATCAACCCAATTTATACTGCACTGCAGGCTGCTGCGTTATGTGAAGCACATAAAGGTGAAGCTTCTGATAGAAAGGAAGAAAATCCATTAGCACAAGCTACCGGCAATTGACCTTCTGAGGTGTTCTTTTCTGGAGGACACTCAAAGACTCATGATAAACCTTTTGCTCCCAAAACTCACACATGATATTTGCTGATGAATTTATTGTACAAAATTAAATTGTGCATATGGAGTAAAGTGTACATATTTTTGTCCACAGAATTATTTTAAAATGCATTATGGTATACATTTAATAATAAAGACACGTTGTGTGAGCACAGAACTAAATTGCTGAACAAATATCGTGGAATCATATTGAATATCTGAATACTGAAATTTGTATCATGGCCTTTCCAAATTATTAACTAATTGACACAAATTAATTGTATTTATTTTCATTTCAACAAATTGTTCCCAATGCTGAAAAGGCCAGTAACGCTGTTGAACCTTTATTTTGTGAATAAAGTCGAGGTAATGTTTACAACATTTCCATCGCCCATGTAAACTTGCAGAAATTATTTCACATATTGAGATAAAGTTGAGTTGGTTCATAACCCTGCTCCTTGTGAAATACCACAAACTTTACCCAAATGTTTCTAAAAAACGAGAATGATGGAGATGCAGAGAGTTAAATGGCATCACCGCAAATTCCACTGTACCTGTGACATTACAACTTGGCTACGGCTCTGGTTGTATGTACACAACTATCTGTGTTTGTAAATGCTATCATGGAATGTTGTTGACCCAATGATGTAAAGCTCAGGTTTAGGTGACCCATGCGATTTTACGTACACTCAAATATGTAACACTTGCAGAAGACTGGGGAAAAAAGGAAATTGTCTCACTTACTCTCTGTCAATCACAAGGCAGGTCACCATTTCAGCTGCAATAACATTGGCTGTCCTCACATCTTCTCTGTAAAAAGAAGTCAAAAGGAAAAATGTAAATTACGAGACAATGGAAAACAACTGACAACACTTATATTCATGAACAATTAAATCAATTCAAAGCCAAAGCCACATTGTGGATACAGTAATTCGCTGGTAATAGTGAAACACCAAACCTTTAGCCAGTGAAGACTGCAGTTTATTTGTACCACAGCAGGTCTAAGGTGGTCTCTCACATAAACAGTAAACTAGATAACATGTATTCTATAACCAGCATGTAGCGTCTCCTAGATCCTTTAACTATCTTCAATGAATAGTACAGCAATTGGCCATTTCAGACACACAAACCTTATTACACATGTAAGAAGCCCATGTGTTTTATAATCAGACATGTGAAATACTGTTCACAATACTTGTGGAATAACTAGTGCAAGCACAGAAGAAAATATAATAAATATTAACAGTCAGTGGCAGTGGTAAATATCTGAAATATTTTCCATAAGCACTGATGTGCAAGTTGGGCAAGGCAACACCTGTGTAGTCTAAACCGTCTAGCTGGAGTTTCACTGTGCTCTGTGGTCAGTTTGCTGATCTCAAATGGGGAAGCACTATCAATTGATCTTAGTTCTCCTGATATAGTGAGGAGACAAGTCAGCCAGGATACCTGCTCCTGATTGTTATCCAATCACATGTGGGTTGGGCTCGGCTGCATTGCCCTTCACAATGAAATGGCCATTTGAACTGCCAGATGAAGAACAGCTACTTGAACAACAACAACAACAACAACAAGATTCCATTTATAAAGCGCCTTTCACGTCAGGAGGACGTCCCAAGGCGCTGCACAGTTGGGTCATGACCCGAGCAGGGGGAAATGGTCAGGGTGAGGGGAGGAAGGGAGGGAGCGAGGAGGGGGAAATGGTCAGGGTGAGGGAAGGGAGGGAGCAAGGAGGGGGAAATGGTCAGGGTGAGGGGAGGGAAGGGAGGGAGCGAGGAGGGGGAAGAGAGTCGAGAGGGGAGCTGAAGGCACGGTCAAAGAGAAGAAGGTCTCAGAGGGTTGCTTTTGGCCTGAAGGAGAAGGGGGTGGGAGGAAACTTCACGTCGAATGGAGCGAAAATAAATGGTTTCAAAATAAGCAAGCACACGACTCAATGAGAAAGTTCAAATTCTACATCAAATTACTTATGGGTAATTTGTGCCACAAAAGTGACACAAAGCTCTTGTGACATTTAGCTTTCCCAAAATGTAATGACTTATCAGCCCCGTTTGATGAACACATTGCCCCTTTAAGTAACAGTCTGTGTTCTTTAGGATTGAACACACTCACAGCTGTTCGTTCACCACACAGCAGCACCATTATGTTATTATAATTTTACAACTTTGAGAAAGATTTGAGGATTCAGACAATGTTAAATATGCTTAAAAGAATGGGCAAACATGAATTTATAGACTGAGTTTCCTCTATTAATTCCTGTATCTATGGTAAAACCACAGAATGTAGTTAGCTTATGATTTGACTGCTATCAGGTAAACACGGTAACATTGTAAAACACGGATCCATGATTAGCATCAGACAATTTTATTAACACGTTGATAAAATTATTAAGACCTCAGTAAAAAAATAAAGTCAGGGAACAACAATACAACACATAGGCGATACAACACAATCGCCTTCTTAGTATTCCGCGCTCTGGACATTCAACATTGAACATTCTTGATGACTTTCAACTTTTAGCCAAATACAGTGCACTGACAACTAAATAATTAAGTTGACTACTTTGTGCTACAATAACACATGAACATAATGAGTTCTAATTGTTTGCCAATCATTACTCTCACTTCTTGTTCTGCTTTGCTTATGACTTCTAAAATGAATAACAGGCATAATTTAATTTAATTAAACGTCTTCTGTTGTACACAACTGAACAATGTAGCTCTCTTAGCATCAAGAAAGTCTAAACCAGGGAAGAAACTTCAAATTTGTATTTAAACAGGTATAGTGTAAGGAAAACAAAATCACTAACTCAAATGTTTCCTCAACTTTCTCATCTGTTTCTTCATCAGTGGACTCTGAGAAGGAATACTCCCAGTCTGAGCAGTCTGTTTCAGTGTCTGTATTGTTCATATTTCTCTATGAAGTCTGAGAAATGCTCCCCTTCATAAGACTTCACATAAAACTCACTAGCTCTCAACCACCCAACCACAGTATCTTATACTTTGGAACAAATCTGGCCTTCTTCCCACAGCACCTCGCAGCTTAAGAAGCAATGTTTACAGCTGCTGAGGAAAGCAAGAACTTGATATCGTTGGGGCATTTTGAAAAGCACACAGTGCACAGCCAGAGCTCAGCACATCATCACAAATGTTAGTTTGCTGTTCATCATCGGGGCCCTCCTCTTACTCTGACTGTTTTATCTTTACTGGACTAGGTAACGCAAGCCCAGTCATTGCTTTGTGTGGTGTTGTACCCTTGTGAATGAGATGCTTTAGAGTGGCTCTTACAGTGAACTGGCAACCATTTGTTAGTATGTCATATACCCAAGTCGTCAAATTGTCCTTGACTTGTACCAATTAACGTAGCTCTATCTGGCTAGAATCTGCTGCAACAGCTCTTACTGAGAACACCAGTTTCAGTACATTATTGACAAAAAGTACCATACCTAGGACATGAGCCTTTGTACCAACAACAAATGCAACAAAAACGTGCATTTCTATCGCGCCCTTCACCTCAGTAGTGTTTCGGAGTTGCAGGCTCTCCTTCAAATTCACACACTTGAGCTACTTTGTCACGTGAAGTTTCACCTTAATTATTTATTCCTAATGTTTTTGAAGCATCAATATTTTCTGGTCAGCACTGAATACTTTTCTTATTAATAAAAATGCAGCAGCATCGTCCATATAAACGCATGAGGCAAAGTTTAATTATTTTCCCACAATGATTTTACCTCAGCTTTATTTGTCTTCCAACCTCCTGCTCTCCTCTTCAGGTCAGGTGGGCAGGTATTTGGGCAAACTGAGTAGAGGTTAGAGACTGACTTCGTCCCAGCTGCCAGATTTGATGAGGGGACGCAGCCTTTGGCAGACACAATCGGCTCGCTCCCAATTTTCCATCCTCATTGAGCTAGAATATCAGCTACCTTGCAGTGTTCTATCTGACAGTCTCGCTGCCAACTAGGAAAAGCCACTCATCGAAGTTACCAAACCCAGAGTCAGAGTCAAGTCTGGAATGTGACCCTAGAAAATCCACTCCTGCAGTTGTGAATGGGAACCAGATGGTCTTTCACTAAAGTCAGCTGGGTCGCACATTTCAAATGGCCTCTAAGACTGTTCAAGCTTATTAATACTACTTATTCAGGTCACTTTTGAGTTTGGGACAAAATATACTACAAACCATTGTATGGGTTTTTCATAAAATGTAATACAGCACACCATTTCCAAAAGAAGTCATAGAAAGTCATCCCCATTGATGGTCTGGAGAAGCAAAGCGAAGTGAGTCAGCTCAGATTAGATTTATTTTCTTTCCGTGAAGCAGGAAGATTAACATGGGACATTTTAGATTCTCTCAACATACAGTCCACTGGAACCACCTTCTAAAATAACCATATAAATAGCTCCTCCAGCTTTCCTTGTGGTCAGCAGTTGTTAACAGGCTGTCAGGTTACCCTTTCAGTAGTTAACTTCTGAAATAAGATCCCAACTAGGAACTCACTAGATTCACAAGAATGTATGCTAAAAAATCATCACCATCATCATCATCATCATCATCATCGCTTGTCGCTCCAAAACCACAGCTAGGATCTGGTGTTGTCATTTATCTCAAATAGTTCCCAAGATGTTGACAAGGGATACTGCATCAGACAGTATTCAAGTATTTACCAACGCTCTCCACATTCACATCTGGGTTAGTTTCTCAGCTCCCATGTTGAACACATTGTCACCAATCTTTGCCACACCAACTCTCGCTCCATTTAGAGGACACCAGTGTTTTTGTTGGAGGTAAGTGCTGGTGGAGTTTGTTCTGAAGTAAACCAGGTTGTCCAGGATCATTGGTATTTCCTGCCATTCTGTTACTCTGAAGCCTTCCATAATAGTATTTTAGGAAAAGGGATTTTGGGGGTCAGCTCGCTATTATGTGTTCGCCAGTTTCTGGAGTTGACTTCCTTTTTCAGCTCCCTGATGTGCTCTTTGAATGTCAGCATTCGGTCTAATGTGACCCCCAAGGTACACCACATATTTATAGTGCTTGAGCATTGTACCATCTCAAGTTATCTGAAGTTTTTACTTGGCCTGACAGTGTTTCAGGTGGAATGCGCACACTCGTGTCTTGCTAGGGATAGGATTCAGGGACCATGTGTGGTTGTATTCTCCAAGTAGACTCATGGACTTGTGTGATCAGCTGCACATGTGAAGGTACCCACGATCGAATAGACTGATATCTGTGGATGCCTTCACAAGTGTAGCTGGCCATTTGGGTGAGGAACTAATCCAAGTCTCATCCCAACTTCAAAATAACACTAAGAGCAGTCTAGTCATTATTTCAACATTTAGAATCAATCCGCAAACCTGATTGTTTTCTGTAAATTTTTAAAGTCAAATGATAAAAATTAAATAAATTGCTTGTACAATGTGGAGAAATCTCCAAAGCATATAATTTGAATCATTACTTATCTTAAAACATTACTGTTCTTTTAAGAGAGTGCTTTGTTTGAAAACAGAAGATGTATTATATACACTAATACATTAATGGCATACATATCTTTCATCAGTAAATGATTTAGAAAGTCCTTTTATAATAATAATCCTTATGTTTGATACAATTTCCTTGCATCGAGTGCTGCATTAAATGACTTTGAGTATTTCTGACCAAATAAGGAGTGCTATATGACATCTGTTGAACATTTGGGATATTTGAACAGGAAAACAAGCTGAGCCTACATAACTACAAAAAAGGAAAGGATTGCATCAGTTTTTCCTTTTTCTATAGCACTTGCTAACTTGCTAGCTAGCTAACTAACTAACTAACTAACAGCT